CTATTTTATGTCTTCTCATTTATATAGTAAACTGAGAGCAGGGAAAAGGGCAGCATCTTTATCTGCAGTCTCCTATTGGGTTTTAACATCGGTGGCTTTTATATCCTTGTGGGACATTTACGGTAATTATGGGTCTCAGACAAGCAATGCCGCAGCTTCCATGAGGGGTAGAAAGGTAGAGAGAGCCTTCTGAATGCAGCTTTAGAGGGAAGAACTTTGCCTTCTCTGACACTAATCTTATATTTACACTGGGTAGAGCCAACGTCCCAGGGCGAATGGTAGAAACGTCTGCATTTCAGGGAATCCTTTTTAACAATATTGTTTGGGATCAGACGAAAAGAACGCGGCTGTCTGAAGTTCTCATGAGTTCCCAAGTTCAAGTTGTGCCAATCATACAAAATGCTTTTTTAAGTTAATTGCACTGCCATCTAAAACCCTGTATTCCTCATGCATTTATGCGGTTAAACATGGAGAATAGAAGGGTGAATTATTTTTTTTAAATGAGCCACTCAATTAATGAACAATTAATTCAGTCTTTCAACAAATAGCTATTTAGTGCCCGCTACATGCCAAGCAGTGCTGCGGGTGTCCAACCAGAGCTGGGAACCACAAAGACAAAAATCTTGTTTCTATACTCGAGGGGTTTACATTTTAGCTGAAAGGAAGTGTGAAAACCAGGATACTAAATTATATAAGAGTCGCAAAGCCTATGAAAACAAATAAAATAAAGTCGTATGACAATAGGTTATCCAACTTTTCCAAGTTTGCCCAGCGCTGTCCTGGTTTTCACTCAGAAAGGTCTGCATCCCAGGAGACCCCTCAGTTCCAGGCAAAATTGGGTGATTGTCTACTCTAGTAATGGGAAAGAGAGGGACAAAGAGGGGTCTCTTTTGGATGGATGGTCAGGGAAGTCCTCCTTGGGGGGTGACATTCCTTAAGTCTTTTCAGAGCAGGCTTTATGTATATTCTATGTACAGATTTTCCACTGCAACTAGCGAAGGTCATTGCAGGTAGTATGAAATCCATACATGTTTGCTGCAATGCAAATATTTGGAGGACCAGCATCAGTATCCTAATCAGGTTAAGTTTAGAATTTTAAGTGGTTTTTCCACAAGAGCATTTCAGAAGCAACCCCTTTTGGGTTTGGCTAACCACTATTTTGGACATCAAAAGAAACACTGTCCCTTATTGTTGGCTATATTTTAACCCATCTTTTGCCATGATGAAAAATCTTAAAGATATACATTTGTTTTAGATTAAAATAGACACGAGAAAGTAGTTCTGGAATGGTAGAGTGAAGGTGCAAAAAAATCCACTCCTCCAGATAAACCATCGGAATATTGGCAAAGGTGATCCATAGCAGCTTTTTCAGAACTCTGGAGATGAGGTAAAGGCTTGGAAAGGACCGAAGAGTGTTTATTCAAGAAAGATGGTTAATTATGTTAGGAACAGCAAGCTCTGCAGCATTTTAACTTGCCCACTAGTCCTATCTTACTTGCCCAGTCCTGGAAAAGCTCTGAAAACCAACAGCATGGTAGCTGAGCAAACAGACACCCCAGCAGCCCCCGAAGGGAGAAGAAAAAAGGGCTTGAAACTCCCCAAAATCTGCACCCCCAGAAAACTGTCACGATTGAACCTATTTCAAAGATGATCTTTATTTGACTTGACTCAGAGTCTGCTCTGTACAAATAGCCTTTCACTAGGGTGTGTGTTAAAAACAATTTTTCTTTATTTTAAAAGATTTTATTTATTTATCTTTAGAGGGGAACGGAAGGAGAGAGGGAGAGAAGTATCAATGTATGGTTGCCTCTCATGTGTCCCCCGCTGGGAAGTGGCCTGCAACCCAGGCATGTGCCCTGACTGGGAATCAAACGGCAGTTGTGTGATTTGCAGGCCCGCGCTCAATCCACTGAGCTACGCCACCCAGGGCTGTTTGTTAAAAACTATTAACGGCAGTTGTTTGATGTTGCAGCTGTCTGATGTGGTGATAACGGTTGCAGCCACCAAGAGACAAAAGAAAACATTAAAAAGGAAAAGCTGGGTAATGAAATGTCTATAGAGGGCTTCGAAAAATTTCAACATATTCCTGGGAATCTAGAAACTCTCATGAAAATGCATGGCTATACACATGCCCAGGGAAGATTCGAGATGGCTCAGACCTTGGCTGACCTTGAGGCTCTTTGTGAGAAAGAAGTGAAGGCTAAAGTAGAGTTCTCAATTACCTGGCTGAGCACTGGATATACTCCCTCCTCACCTTTCTCAGAGTTCCTTGGCAAAGGCAGGGCAATTTATTAATCAAATACTTAAAGAAATTTCTAATTTTTAGCTGACCACTGCATAGCTTCATTGACTGCATGTGATAAATCCTACAGACTTTATAAAATTAGTTCAAGAAAGTCACTAAACAAACAAGCAGCAACAACAATAAAAAGTTCAGCAATGAGGGTGTATGGTTGTGTGCAAATCTCGTTTCCATGGTAGCCACATTATAGATATTGTAAATGTCCATTTTTCAAAAAGAAAACAGGAAAGCATGGCTCACATCCAGGAAAAAAAAAGCAGGAAACAAAAACTGTTTCTGCAGGAGCCCAACATTGGACTTACTGGACAAAGACTTTAAATCAACTGCTATAACTAAGTTCAAAGAACTAAAAGGAAGTACGAGAATAATGTTTTACCAAAGGTAGAATACCAGGAAAAAATATAAATTGTACAAATGGACCAAGTAGGAATTTTAGAGCTGAAAAATAGAAAATTTAAATGAAAAATCTGCTAAAGGGGATCAATGACAATTTGAATTGACAAAGGAAAGAATCAGTGAATCTTAAGATAGTTAAACTGGGATTATCCAGTCTGAGGAACAGAAAGAAAAAGAAGGACTAAAAATGAACAGAGCCTTCACGGCCTATGGTACGCTAACCAGTGTACCCAAATGTGCACAGTGGGAACCACGGAGGAAGGAGGGAGGATGGGGCAGAAAGAATATTTGAAGAAATAATGCCCCAAAATCTTTCCCATTGATGAAAAATGTTACTTGGCACATTAAAAAATCTCAACAAAGTTCAAGTAGAATAAACTCAAAGAGATCCACACCTAGATACACTCTAAAACCATTCCTAGATAGACAAAACTTAAGAGATTGTGGCTGGTAGACACACCCTACAAGAAATAAGGAAGGGAATTCTTCAGGCTGAAATAAAATGATACTAGACAGCAACTGGTAGATGTAACTACTTAAGTAAATATAAAAGACAGTATAAATGCATTTTTGCACTTGCAAATATTCTTTTATTTTATTTAAAAGTAAATGGCCTAAGGCAAGACTTATTAAATTACGATGGACTCAGAATGTGTAAAGTTGTAAGTTGGATGACTAAGATCGTACAGTGTGGAGAGAAAGTGGGGCTATATCGGAGCAAAGTTTTCATGTACTATTGAAATTAAGTTGGTATTAATTCAAACTAGGTTGTTGTAAGTGAGAATGTTGATTATAATCGCCAGGGCAACCACTAAAAAAAGTAGCAAAAATATCATGAAACAAACTCAAGGGCATTAAAATACCGTGCTACAAAATATCCAACACAAGAGAAGGCAGCTATGAATGAATAGTAAAAAAAAAAAAAAAAAGACATAAGATATATAAAGAACAAATGGAAAAATGGCGCATATTTTACCTTATCAGTAACTACTTAATGTCAATGGACTAACCACTTCCATCAAAGGCAGAATTTGGCTAGAACAACTAGATAGGAGTTGGAAACCAATGATGATATAAATCAAGTAGAAACAATAAATATCTGCAGAAAACTCTATCCAACAACTGCAGAATGCAAATTTGTCATAGGTGCATGAGGAACAGTCTTCAGGAAAGACCATATTAGATTATTAAAAATACTTGATGAAGTTAAAAGGATTAAAGTCACACAAAGTATAGAGGGAGGGTTGGAGGAAGATGAAGAGGATGGTGGGCCTTTGGTCAGAAAAACCTTTAGAAAGGGGGTGAAGGGAACATGATTTTTCATCCCATTTTATATGTTCTTATGTTTTTTTAAAATATTTTATTTATTTATCTTTAGAGGGGAAGGGAAGGAGAGAGGGAGAGAAACATCAATGTATGGTTGCCTTTTGTGCATCCCCTGCTGGGAACTGGCCTGCAGGGAACCAGCCTGCAACCCCGGTATGTGCCCTGACTGGGAATTGAACCGCGATTGTCTGGTTCGCAGGCCTGCGCTCAATCCACTGAGCTACACCAGTCAGGGCTATATGTTCTTATGTTTTATGATGTATTTTTGTATCTTGCTAATGTGTACTTCAAAAACTGTTTTGAAACTGTCTTAAGAGTTACAGAAGAATTCAAAGGTAGTAGAGAGAACTCTTGTACGTCCTTCAGCAGTATGTCCTAATGTTAACTCCTGATACTAAGACAGTTACGAAGTAGTAACACGTATAATTCACATATAAGTAAGTATAACACTGTTAACTAAACTTCAGACTTTATCAGCTTTTACCAGTTTTTCTTCTAACACTTTATTGCATTTTCATTCCAGTCTAGGCTCCAAAATCCTGTTTGGTCTTTAACTGTTGATACCCTCCGCAGTCAGATTTAGTTAATGGGGTATTCACAGAGTACCTCTCCAGTCTGTCTGTAGTCAAGAAGACTAGGATGGGGCTTAAAAAGTGCCTGTTTGAGGCCTGCCCTGTCCTGAATAAAACTCTAGGCTTAGGTCAAGTGCATGGTTATGGGCACCAAACATAAAAGCATCCTGAAAATTATAAGGCACTGTCCTCCAGCAAAATCATTCATTCATCCATCCAGCATTCAGGAAACCCTTCCTGAGGGCCATGCATGTCTTAGACACTGTGTTAGGCACGGGGCCACATAGTACGTGATGCCCTTTCATTGCTTGCTGGCATTTCTGGTCTTGCCCGTCTGATTGTTATGCATTTATTGAAGGCCCACAATGGGCCCTGCCATACCAATGCTTAGCATTCCATTACAGGGCAGTCCATGAATACCCATCACAGGCCTGAAAGAGTTAATGTGCTACAATGCCTCCCCCTCCCGTCTGGTACCCGGGGAGTCCAGCCCCGCTGGGTGAAGGCTACTGATGCATTAGGCTCCAAGGAACCGTATGTATTTTCTCTTCCCCTCTGTTTATGTCTCTGTTTTCTGTAACATCTCCTAAATTGCAGCAGTATCTCCCAAGTCCTCTGACAATGCTATAAATTTCATTAAGAAGATGAAGCCTTGTGCGGCAATTAACTCCAAGAGTGGGACAAAGCAAGAGCAAGGAGATACCAGCCTGTAGTACTTAGCACTTAGCTCTGAAATGGAGATAAGCCCTATCAACTCGGGGTTGTGTTTAATGTTCACTGCCGCTTCCACACCACTGCTACAACCTAGCGGTCACCGTGTTAACACTCCCCAATATCTATTACAATTAGTTTTTGATTAAGAGGCCTAACACGGCTTTGGAAGCCTTTCATGTCGTGTCAGATGGCTGGTGATGGAGTGAGAAGTACGGACACCTCCTAGTAACAAAGCATCCTTGTAAAAGGTTTCGAGTGAACTATTTTATCATCCTAATGGAAACCAGATGACTCCAGCCCTCCCCCGCCTAATTTCAACTATTTACTGAAGAGTCCTTGTTTTGAATTACTTAAAGATTTATTCTGAAGCGATGACTTTCATGCATTAAGAATCGTTAGGAACGGGGCCATTTCGAATTTGGGAGAGCTTTTAAAATGACTGAGGCCATTTTCACCGAGGGCTGATTTTGTTTTATGTTTTTCCTTTTCTGGTTTTTAAAAGAGCAAATGCCTCTGCCCTTTCTTAATATGTAATTATTATTTTAATTACGGTTCAGGAGGCCTTTGTCTGTCGAGTTCTGCTTTTGTCGCTGGGGTGGCGGTCAATGGGCTTGGCTTATTTTATGAGAGACTGCTGGTATTTTGTGAGGCAAGAGCAACCATTTGGTTCAGTAAGATTTATTCCGTGAAAATAGAAAATATGTGTTATTTTTTTAAAAGATTTTATTTATTTTATTTTGAGAGAGAAGGGAAGGGAGGGAGAAAGAGCAGGAGAGACACATCAATCTGTGGTTGCCTCTCATGTCTCCCCTACCGGGGACCTAGCCCACAACCCAGGTAAGCGCCCTGACTGGGAGTCGAACCGGTGACCCTTTGTTTAGCAGGCCTGAGCTCAATCCAGTGAGCTACACCAGCCAGGGCTGGATAAGATGTGTTATTTTTTAAAATAAAGGTACATCATTCAATCAAACAAAGGAGGATTATTTAAAAATAAACAGTTCACTTTCATGAACTATAACATCTGTACTTGTAAATTTAGTGAAAATTGTATAGAAACACATGTGAATGTGACCACACTAGCCTTTGAAACCGCCTTTTTTAGCACCATTTTTACTGTGTCTGTGGCATGTACTCAGTTTTGTCACCTGTGACTGGGGGTTGGGCTGAGTTGCCACTCACCTCCGGAAGTCATTGGTTCTGTGGTATCACATTGCGCTGGGGACCTGTGACCCAAGGGCCTCCTAGTGAAGGGGGGGCGGTGTGTTCTTAGGCGTGACATGCGACTCTTGGGGACTCACTTTCCTTCCATGTAAAATAAGGACAATATTATCAACTTCATAGGGTTACAAGTAATAAGTAAAATCAGGTACGTAGAGAGCCCAGGAAACCGCAGTCTTTCAGTAATTCCTCCTTCTCTTTTTTCCTGTTGTATTCTGTCCTGTTTAATGTTGCCCGCACATGTGCTGAATTTTATACTGGAAACGAGGAACCGCCGATGTCCAAAGCGAGGATGGGCGGAGCGGACCTTAGGCTGAGATTGGCCCCGGGAGACGAGAGGGCGTGGCTGACCGTGGGTGGTGAGAAGAAACCACAGGGTGGGGACGCGGGCAGCGGGGAAGGAGAGAGGGACCAGATTACAAGGGCCCTAGGCCATCTTCCAGAACACGTGCGGGAAGAAGCGCCTTTACACCCGCTGTAGTGGACGTTACAGTCTACCCCGCATTTAACTAGTTAGAGGCTCTGTGCCTTAGTTCTTGTCTGTCTCCCCTCAAACTCGCCTTGCTCGCTGCCTGGGCCTCGTCTGGGCTCACAGTCCACCTCAGCAGTTGGTTAGAGGCTGTTGTTGGTACAACCAGCCTTAAATAATTTGATTTTCAGGTTGGGCACGCCACAATATCTCCTGTGGGCTGGCGCGTCGAACTGCCCATTTATTTAAAAATTGCTTTTCTTCACGTTATATTGGAAAGCAGTGCTACTCACTCATCTGTAAACCATTAGGCCACAATATGTGAAAGTATCTCGTCTGACTTTTATTCACATGGTTCTGAGGATGAGGCTGAGGACCTCACAGGTTGAGGTCCTCTCTATTAAGTCCATCAGATTCATTTTCTTTTAATGTTCCTATAGAGAACCATGTATTTAAAGGAAAAGAGAGACTGTGTTCTTTTCTGCTTTAAATAATGAATTTCAAAGATACATTCAGACGTTCTTCCTCCTCAGTAAATGTTCAGTCATCTTGGTTTATTTGTTTGTCCTTTATTTAGACAAATTTAAACTGGCCCGATACAGCCAGCAGTAAATGTGTATTGTTTGGCCTGAGCACGGTTTCAACAAGTTGTCAATATTTATAAGTCCAGAAATCTGGAGATTTCACATAACATCTGGCTCCTTTAAGAAAATCAAAAGGTGTGAGGCCAGGGGCTCACAGGACGACACTCTGGGGCTCAGTCGCCCCCACTCTCTGTCCCCCAAGGTCTGGGGGTGCATCCTACTCACCAAGGTTCCCTGCCTAGCTGCCCACCCCCCGCCATGCCTTTGCCTTAGAACTTTGTATGTTTGGCTTTCACTTTTCCAATAATAAATGGGGTGAAACATATTGACACACAAATCTGCACATTTAGGAGTTGTAGTGAGGAGGCTACACGCCCACACGTCCAAGCAAGCACGCTGTCCTTCAGTAGGTGAATGGGTAAATACACTGTGGTCCGTTTATTACATTACTCACTGCAAAAGAGTGTCGAGCTACCAAACCACGAGAAGACATGAGGTGGGGGGGAACCTGGAATGCATATGATGCAGTGAAAGAAGCCAACCCATCGAGGCGACATGTCATTTGATTCCAACTCTCTGGCGTTCTGGAAAAGGCAATGCAATGGAGACAGTAAAAGGGTTGGTGGGAGCCGAGGGTTGGGGGCACGGCAGGGATGAACGGCTGGAGCTCAGGGAACTTTTAAGGCAGTGAAATGCCCTGTAAGACACTGTGATGGTGGATACACGGCATCATGCAGGTATCTAAGCCCACAGAATAAGCCACACTGAGAAAGAACCCAACGTCAACTGCAGACTCTGGGTAATCATGATGTGTCACCTGCAGAACCTCGACTGTGACGTAGGTGCCACCCTGGCGGGGGATGCTGACCATATGGGAGGCTCTGTGTGGGGACAGAGGGTGCATGGAAATCTCTATGCCTTCCTCTCAATTTTGATTTGAACCTAAAATGGCCCTGAAAAAAAATAAAGCCTCTAAAAAGCAACAATAACATGACCATCCTAAAATGGTTGTGGGTGAGAATATGCAAAGTGTAAAAAGGGAGCAGTCATTTTTCATTCCCACCGTCTGAAATCACCATTGGGTTTTTCTCGTCCTCTTGTTGTGGGCGCGGTTCCACTGGCACCTCCTCTCCTGAGGTTGGTTGAAAGTGCTAACTTCTTCCTGGTGTTAATTATTAATGTGACCTGTTCGTGTCCCAGTTATCCGGCTAACCATTAATATCTGTTTACTCATTGATGACCTTTGCAATTTCGTACCTCTCTCCTGGCTGTAAATGTCAACCTTTCTTTCTGTGTTCTTTCTTTTCTTTTTCTTTTCCATATGCACAATGTTTCCCTCATATCTAGTGCCTACCTGAAGCAACTCCATGTAGTAAAATAATATCAGGCCACACAAAGGTAATCTTTATGAGTTTGGAAAGGACGACAAACACTATTATTACAGAGGATTAAGACACAGAACTTTCTGTTTTAAAACGAGCAAGAAATGGATGTGAATGGCCAATGCAAGCGCTCTTGGGGAAAGGAGACAAAATTTGACCCCTCCCCCTGCCCACAAAATGTTTTTTCTTCTGTGTATGGGGAGAAAATGCCAGGAATTGACTCTGAACCAGTCCTGGTAAATGAAATCCAATTTTCCTTTTTCGATAATGCCATTGTTAAGCATTTGCACATCCAGGCAAGCCTGCAGGATTTCTCTCTGGTTACCCAGTCAGTCTACATTCACGCCAAGACTCGCGAGATGTCGCCGTCCACCCCCCCTGGATGGCTGAGGCTGAGATTAAGCAACGCAGCTGGATTAGGGTTGCCGCCCTTGACCTCCCTTCCATCCGTGCCTGGAGTCTGTGTAGACCTGACTTGTCTTGATTGCATTTACCTCATTGGAACAGACAATGGCAGCCCAAGAAGTGTCTTCACCCTCAAATAATTCAAATAATAAAAAAAGGGAAGACAAGCTTTTTTTTTTTTTTTTTTTTTTTAAGAAAGGAAGCCCAGGACAGTCTTGCAGGTGGTGGCTGCTCAGAAAACCAACACAGCCCCTTTTACTGTTCCTTGCTCCATGAACACAGCAGCAGAGGGCCCACTGAAATATTATTACCTTTGCATAACAACACAATTTGAACGTCGCGGGGCACTTCTTTATTGAACTGATTTAAAATATTAATATCATCTTGGCCATAAATAACTGTGACGGCCTTTGTAGAGATTATAGTTCTGAGTTATGCCTCGGGTGTACAGTTACATTTTCTCGTCCATGGAGTCTTAACTTCAGTAAAATTAGGTTTTTTTTTAGCTACGGCCCTGAACACTTGCTGTGACTGTCGCTTCGTATTGAATTTATCATACGGAGTTTACGGCGGAAGCCTGGGGAGCCGTGTCACGGATGACTGTATTCAGAATCGTTGAGGGTCGGGAGGGGGGCTGGGCGAAGATAAGAATTCTAGACCCTGCCCTTTGTAGCGGGGGGCCATTTATTCGACCCCAGTGGCCATCGTGGAGAGGGGTTTGGCGTAGATTACGTAAGCCTTTCCTGCGAGCCTGTCTCTGTG